CTCAATCCCTCCCGCACCACCCCTCTCCCACAGCCTCCCACAGGGAGGAGGCCTGCACTAAAAGTGACATGAGGCAGGTGAAGCAGGCCTGATCATCAGCTCTGGGGTTTGTGTTTCGTGTTGGTTTGGGGTTTGGTTTTTTGGAGACAGGGTCTGCTTAGTCCACACTGACCTCAAACTCCTCCAGCAACCACTCGTGAGCACATGTTACTCGTGAGGGATACACCACCATGTTGGGTCCAACTCATGGTCTTAAGTTTCCCATGAGGAATGAAGTGTTGAAAGTCTGAAAAAGGGCTGGGGAGATAGCCTTTGTGGTCTAAGCACCTACCTGGAATACACAAGGGCCCAGGCTCAATCCCTGGACCACAGGTCATGTAGGCCCCACTCCTGGGCATGCTGCACTAGCCACCAAAACTAGATGTGGTGGTACATGCCTATAATCCTAGCACTGGGGAGGCTGAGGACAAGAGGATCACAAGAGGATCCAAACTGTGTAGTGAGAATGTGTACCAAGTAAATAAATAAAAATTTTAAAAATATTTTTATTATTTTTTATGTATTTAGTACATGGGCTACACAGTTTCACTACGTAGACTGGACTCATAGTATTCTCCTGTTTTCAGCCTCCCAAGCCTGGGATTACAGGTGTGAGCAACACCACACCTGGTCTCCACAACCATCTCAGCATGCCCCAGGGCGGGGCCAGGCACAGCTGCTGGGGATCAAACCCCGGCGCTGCACTCTGCCTAAGCAGACACTTCAGTCTGCTGAGCTACCCGGCCAGCCCAATAAAAGATTTTTAAAAATAAAAGTTAAAAAAAAAAAAAAAAGCCTAAAAAGACCAATTTAAACAGGATGATGGTACAATGCTCTAATCTCAGCTACTCAAAAAGCTAAAGCAGGGGCTGGGGAGATAGCTCTGTATTATAAGTACCTGCCTGGCAAGCGCAGGGACCTGAGTTCAATCCCTGGTACTGAAAAAAAAAAAAAAAAAAAAAAAAAAAAAAACCCTAAGGCAAAATACTAATATTTGTTCAGAAAAAAAGGTATCCCATCACTGAATCTGAGGTCAGCCTGGCCTGTGAAGCAAGACCTTGTCTCCTCTCCATAATAATTCAGACTATAAAAAAGAGGCTGAGATATCGCTCAGAGTTCCTTGGGCTCAATCCCTAGTATCAAAGGAGTGGGAGGAAGCAGTTAGGGGGAGGCACAGCGGCACATACCCATGATCCTCGGCACAGAGGCTGATGCAGATACGTAAGTCTGAGGCCAGTTTGGGCAGCTTGAGATTGTCTCAGAGTAAACGGTGGTCCCAGCATTCTAGGGGGCTGAGGCAGTTTTAAAATTTAGCCCAGCCTGGGCAATTTTGTAACTTAGAGACCTTTGTCTCAAAATATGAAATAATCAATCCCAAACACCACATGTTGTGCTGGCCCCACCCCAGATGCGCTGTGCCTGCCACCAAGACTGAGCATGGTGAACACCTGTAATCCCAGTGCTGGGGAGGCTGAACACAGGAGGGTCATTACAAAGTCTGAGCTGCTCAGTGATACCCTGTACACCAAATACATTAAAAAAAAAAAAAAAAAGTATGAAATAAGTATTTTGTGTTTTATATAACACCTATTATCAAAATGGGCTGGCCCAGAGCCTAGCTCAAAGTGAAGTCTTTGGTTTCAATGTAATTACTGAACCCAATAGAGGGCCTAAAACACGCAATGTCCTTGGTTTAATCCCTGGTATTGAAACCAATCAACAAGTTGAACGGTACCCATTAAACAGTGTGAAAACCATCCTTCATTGTAAAAAAGAAATGGTAGGGGCCGGGGAGATGGCTCAGTAGAATAAGCTCTTGCCTGGTACACACAAGGGCTTGAGTTCAATCCCCGGTTCCACCAAAAAAAAAATATTTAAAAAAATGATTTAAGTCCTAAAATAAGATTGTTTGTAGGGGCTGGGGAGATGGCTCAGTAGGATAAGCGCTTGACTGGCAAACACAAGGATCTGAGTTCAATCCCAGGTTCGGGGGGTGGGTGGGAGATTGTTTGTAAA